AGTTCAATGGGCGTAAACCAGTCGGTTTGGAACATCGTAGTCTTCTTTTTCCATACGAGAATAATGCATTTTTCTAGACTCTAACTTCTAAAATGAGTTCAGAGCCAACTTTGATGAACATTTTTTCTAAGAATATAAATTTTGACCGTGAGTATCATTACCTTCTCCCTCAATGGACCACTAGACAAGGTACGAATTTAAGCAATCTGATACATGTTTCTTAATCAGAATTTCATGTAAAACACGATTCTTACAACGAAAATTACTGAAACCAACTCCTAACAAAGATATTAACGTTTTTATTTCACATTGGCTACAAGGAATTTGAACTGCCCGCTCACAAGAAACTCAGAGCTCTACGTGAGTCAAATCGCGCACTACAACGGTTTCAGCAAGCCTCTCAATTGAGCAATGTTCATTTTCCACCATGTGTTGTTCAAACTATAAGCTATTTGCTGCAGCTGAGCCAAAGCGTCAAGATTGAGGTTGCCAGATTTTTACATCGCAGAGACTGTCATGATAACGTTTAGCGCGCGATGTGAATCACGTAGAGCATTGAGTTTTAATGAGCGGGTGGTTTGAATTCACACATCAAGAATCATCAAATATCTTAGTAAGGAGTTAATTTCGGTAATTTTCGTTGTGCGCATCGTGTTTTACGTGAAATTTTAGTTAAAAAACATGTATCAGAATGCTGAAATTCATACCTTGTCTAGTGGTCCATTTTGTTTAAATTGGTCCTTAAGAAGTCTCGCTTCATAAGTCTAAAATTGACGAACTAATCAGAGCGTGGCATGGCCATGGTAATACTCTCCCCATGTGGGTCCTCAGTTAGGACTGGCTATCAAAAAATTTTGGGCATTTTCAAGAGGTGCAACGTATCCTACTTGAAATTTTGATGGGGACACACTTCTAGGGGTAATTTAATTTTCAGTGCCCCCCTCTCGCCACAATCTAGTGGTCTTTCAAATTTCGGATCACTTCGACTCGTAAATGCTGCAGGTCTGAATTAACGAAGCACAAAGCCGCTTTGTGCTCTTTGTCCGCACTCGAGCCGCCTAGACCACCAAATGCTAATGACATTTCGTCGCTCTTGTTACAAAAAGGCGTAACTCCATTTCCACATGCGCCCTGAAAAGCACGTGGTCGTATACAGGATAGGGTCCATCTCTAAAAGCATTTACGCCCTTACGGAAGAGGGGCAACGATTCGGCAATAATGAACCTGCTCGCAACAATGACGTCCTGCACGGTATCGTATTTTTCCGCGAGCAAGAAAGCAAAAGCCTCGATTGTTTCGCCGAACCTGGGATCGCGGAAACAAAACGTTTTATGTCCCCACCGCCTCGGTAAGCTCATTATGTAAAGGACAATCGTTTAAATTTCAGTAACCCGAGTGGAAAAACTCTCGCACATGAGATCAAATGGGCAAATTAGTGCGATCGGAGCTACGCTTTTTGAATTGCTTAATTATAAGTGGTGCTAAAGTTAGTTTTGTTCTTCATGCGTTTGAGGTGTTCGACTCTTGTGTGTAATGATCATTTGAGGGGCTCGGTGGACAAGGCGCACACGAGGAGTTTTAGAAAAAAGTAGATCTCAAGTAAGACTAGTCTGAACGCATTTTCTGTGGAAAATTCGCTTCAAAATTCCAATTTTCAAGTATCGAAAAGTACCGAAAAGTTTGAACTTTTTCCCGCCATATGGATGCATACTATTTCGAAACCTCAAACACGTATTTCTCAAAGTAACAAAAACTGCACGTATGCGCCATGTCCTCTAAGCCCCTTATTTTACCCTTAACATCCTGAAATTTGTGTCTCTTGAAATGTTTAAAATTTTATAGTTTTTTTAAGTCACTGAAGCCTCCTGAGAGTAAAGATCAATGAAAATAAATTAAGTGAAGCTTCAGGTCATACTGAATTCTACCATACCATATCAGGCACGCTAGGATGGTAAGGGGTCATACGGCGAAAGATCCCATGAAATGAATTATATGTCAGAAAGCGTGCAAATATGGCACACTAAGATGTTAAAGGTGATACATTCTGTTCGAAATTAAATTTGGTGCACAAAAATAAAACCTATATTTGTTGCAAAACACTGTGCCTCATTTGGGCATGAATCGAAAGTTTTGTTCTCTCAAAAATCCGATCCGTGGCAAGTTTTGCAAGTTTGCAACATTGAGCTTCGCCGATTTAAGTGTGCCTAAAACTATCGATATGTATCAATTTGAGATGAAACTCGCTGCCTAAAAATCGATTATCAAAATTTAGTTAAACTTGAGGATTACAGTTTCGTTAACTTGTGAGAATGGCTATTAGTGATTTTACCAAGAAACTGTGAAACTACTTAGAAACTGTAAAACTGCCAAGAAACTGTAAAACTACCAAGAATCGGCGTAATCTTGCTGTAAAAAGCCGTCTCTTTGACAACACGAAAACGATTCCCTCAGCGCAAAGGGGATACTGAAAGTTCGCGAATTTAGGATCGTGTCACTTTTCCTTGGAATGAGCTTTTCGTTGGACTCCAACAACTTTGAAACAAAAAACTGATTAGCAAAAGGAAGAGTTCGCGGAAATAAGGGAATCCAATACAAAGCGAAAAAGCACAAAGGGCCGAACGCTGCCGGGTTCGCTTGGAAACACCGCTGCTGTTTTACAGAAGAACGTCGTACGGGCCTTCAAGCGTTGCCGAATTTCCTTTTACTAAACACCAATCTAAAAAAACTTGTAAATACTTTTCCTCCAAGTTCTCGTAGAATTTTATTGCAATTTAATCTAAGTATCCGAAAATTTTGAGGAAAAGAATCATTATCTCCCTCAAAAATGAACATTTTATGAAAGAGTGAGTAGAGATATGGGGAAAAATTCAAATTCTCATACGGCTTTTTTCCTTATTAAAGTAGAGTTGTCTGCGTATGTTGTTTATGATTTTCAGATAGTGCGCCGTGAATTAAACCTTGATGCGACTATTTGTGTCTTTGCGCTGCTTATGTTGCATATAGCAAAGTATTGAAGGCGCGATGGCTCATTTCATGCTCATGGCCTCATGTATATCATCACGCTTTGATGTAATTATTTAAGTCCTCTCATTGGACTCGTTACATTTTCATAATATTGAAGGCGCGTCGGTTTATCTCACGCTAATGGCTTCGTGTGCATTACCACGCCTTGATGCAGTTATTTGTGTTTTCTGGTTGCACTCGTTGCATATTTAAAATATTGAAATCGCGATGGTTCATCCCATGCTCATGGCTTCGTATGCATCTTTATGTGGCACTGCACCACTGTTGACTGGTCAATTTTGAGAATCAATGAGGTTATCATCTATATGTTGCTTTTTCTTCTCTCTTCTTTTTCATTTTATATTTCGTTTTATTTCAATTGTCAGATTTCCAGACATCAATGTTCCCTACGTGCCGAAGATCACAAAAAAAAGAAAACATGGGAAAATACATTATAGGGCATCTACTGCTAAAATAAAATTTTTGGAGTTGGAGAAATTTGGCAACATCGGGATGTTCATACGGCGTTCTTACTCAGTACGGGAGTAGTGCGTGAGGCGCCCAACTTGTATCGAGAAAGAAAGTCAACCGTGAGGATCAACAGTTGTTCGGAGCGGCGCCTTGCCCAATGCTCCCATTCCATTTCGATCTTAATTCCTCCAACAGCTCAGCATCCAACTTTTAAATTGAGTTTGGGGCAAAAAAGAAGGAAACTTTCTTTTGCTGTCACCCGCCACCGCACACTGGATCTAGTCAATACGAGAGATCGGACAACATTTTTAAACCTTAAACGCCTATAACTCCATTCATACAAAACTGTGAGGTTTTAAAAGTGGTCCCATTGGTTTCCTTGTGAGATTTTCCTGCAAAGTCACCCCTTAAATTTAAAATGTGACGGAATAAACTAAAGTTTCGTAATAAACTTAAAAATGTGCAGTTTTAGCTGAAAATTTCATGTCTGACCTCCTAATTGACTTGATTCACTGTGCGTCGGTTGGTCGGAAAGGCAGCCTCCAGTCAAACAGTCCAACTCCTCGTCGGACTAATTAAATGATTGATGTTAAAACTCATCTTCACCCGTCGCTCCGATACTCACCGATGACATTATAATTGGAATCGTGGAATTATCCGACTCCGAGTAAACGTCTGCGACAAAAATGAGATCGAACTTCCCCCCGGGTGTATTTGAACTTCTTGTTCCTCTTGATTACAACTAAACAAACGCGGGGATCATGTTAATTATCAGGTGGAATGATAAAAATTTGAGGCTTTTTTATAGCAAAATGAAGACGGATCTTTTGTATTTTTCATTCATGTCATATTTCCTTCAAAATGAAACTAACTTGATATTTCGGAATCAGGTGGTAAGACATTGCTAGGTTCACACTCATTTGTGGGAAAAGCAAGGCCAGAAGGTTTAAAAAATCCAATTAGAGTCAAAAAATTGTTTCAAAAATTTTCAGTCAGAGACAAAGAATGTTTTTGACGATGAAATTTTTGAATTTTTTGGCGTTGCTTTCCCCGCAAAATAGTGTCGACCCAGCACTTTTTTTACCACCGTGTAACATACGGTTCGGGTCACATTTTTTATAGTGTTTTTTCTTGCTTGATATTTTGGCGCGTCTAATTTTGAGAAGCCGTCTAACATTTTTTGAAGCCGAGAAAAGTTGAATTTATTTGCAGTTTTGATAAAAAGGATCAATCTTTAATAAATTTAAAAAAAAAAAACGGTATAGACTTTCTTCTTAGTAGCAAAGAAACAAGTTCATTGCGGCCTGATTATTGAAACTATATCGGCACGACAAGAAGACGTAGGTAGCCCTATCTTATCCATGCAACACATCGCATTTTGATGTCTTATCGGGCTGATATAAAGTTTCAATAATCGGCCAGCAGGTGGTGTCTGCAATCAAAGTTGCAAATAAATATTCAGGTTGGATGCACACTTTTGGAATAACCTGTGATGGGGTGATATCAATTCTTCATGATGATGAGATGTGATATTTTTCGTCCATACTGTTCAACCTGGATAACTCTTATCTCTGTTGTAATTGTTTACCGAATTCTCATCACTACTCATCCTATACATTGAATAGACACATCGTCAGTTTGTTACTAACCTCCAATATGAGTAAAAACTCTGGTAATGTTTTACTTAGACCTTCCTTGAAATTATTTCGATTATTCTTATGCGTGTATTTCATTCCTCAGGTAAGCCCGATCCGATACATTATTTTTGGTTCCAATTATTTTCAAAATTGCTTTGAAATTATCACCAAATTTTTTTTAGAGATGTGATAGCAAATATATTTTGGTAATAGAGTGCTCGGCAAAAACAATGGGTAGGGTTTACAGTCTGTGGTTAGCAAGCAATTAATAAAATTGCGGAATGTTTGTCTTTTTCATTTGATCCTTGAGCAATCGTTCACCGCTGAGGATTTATAGATGGATCCAGATTTCTGCGCTGCACTATAGTTTGAAGCTGGCGAGGGATTGCCTGTTAAATGTAAACAAATGAGACGAAAGTGACAGAGATGTCACAGTGGTTAGACTTTAGTTTCAAAACAAACTTTGGAAAATATGACAGCCAAACTGAGAATGTAACTTTTCCCTCGAGAATAATTATTCTCATTATTCCCTCATTACGTGCCAAAAGCTGTGCGTTAAGAGCTTAATATAATCATGAATTGCTACTTGGCGGGTTTATTTACGTTGGCCCGTTAAATCCCCTTCCTAAAAAGCTTCAGACCTGTTCAACCTTTAGGAGAGCAGTACCGACATGACATAATGACAATGCTCTTCCTTTGAAGGTTCTCGAAACGCACGCCTCCTCTCGCATACATGATAGTAAGTGTGAAAAACACAACCAATTTCAATTTTAAATCTTTTTTTTTTCGTCCAGACTTTTGGATTCTTGGGGAAAATTGACGATGAGTCCGGACTTCACACAATCCCACGCTTACGGCCTCTTGCGGTAAGTTAACTTCCAAATTATAAGACTTATCGACAGTAAAACTGAAAAATGCTACAAAGTATTTTTAAATGGGTAAATACTCGACATCATCTCTTGAAAACTGTCCTAACTTTTTTTCTTTCTGATAAATATACATCTCTGTGAAAATTCCAAGTAGTAGCGTAGGCTTGTTCTTCTCTTGTATTTAAAATAAAACGGGAATGGAGATTTTGAAGTGCCAGAATTACCGTCACAGTCCGTCAACCATTGTTGAAGTTCCACCGTCGATATTGGCAATGTCAACACTACATTGGCAAACACAGTTTACTTTTGGCTTTTGGAAACATTGATCTACTTAAATTGATGTTATGATTGATGGTCACGCACTACTGTCCTGAGTCAGCTTTTCCCTGGTAAAAATTCGCGATAAGAGCTGCGTTTCAAAATACCATAGGAATTCTTATAGCCGGCTAAAGAAGGCTACAGCAAATCATATAGCTGGCTGTAGAATGCGGAGAAATTCATACGGCCGGGCTATACTAAGCGATAAAAAATTATGCAGCCGGGCTATAGTTCCTATCGCCGGGCTTTACACTTTATCGCCTGGCTGCTGCTTTTTCGCCATCGATTATAAAAGGCTACCTATTAGAAATTGTGTAGAAATTCGTGTGCTTTGGAAATCATTAAGTTTGATACGGAACCACCTTAATATTTACAAAACACTCATTATATTTTCCTTTTATACATATTTTTTTTTCATCAATTAAAATGAGAATAATCCATACAGGATGTGCAAACATTTCAAAATCATGAGTTGAATAACGCTGACTCCGCCAGATTAAATATTAGGGCCTAACACGAAGCGGAGCGGCGACGCACTGGCGCCTACAAACCTAACAGGGATACTTCACGCATTGCGCAACGCGTGAAGTATCCCTGTTAGGTTTGCAGGCGCCAATGCGCGTTTCGCGCTGGCTGCCCGCCTACCGCGCCGCAGCGTGCCACGGTGCTTGAAGCAATTATTTCACACCAGAGGTATTGCGCAGTATCATACGAAACTGAAGGCGCTCTAATATATTAGGAATGGCAGACATTCATCAAAAGTACGGAGCTTTCCTCGCAAAATAAATCAAGATACTATGGCCCAAAAAAGAGAGCAGTAGTCCAAAAAAACTGTGACTGCCGACTTACACCGTCGATATGGAATACTTATTCTATTTAAAAGAGAAAACAGTCAAGGAAGTTTTCAAGAAATTACGTTAACAAGTTTTCCACTGAAAAAATAAGATATGACAAGAGGTCTGCAACATCGGAAACGAAGATACGTGGTTTCAAACTTTTGCAATCGATGTAAGGCTCCAAAAATCACGACTCACATTGGAATCAGTGAGGCTGACGTAAGGTTTTCCTCTGATATCTTAAAATGGCTGTCATGGAGCTAGGTACCTCTTTGCTCTAGGGTACTGATATCATCATCATTCTACTTTTCTGTAAAAGTTATTTCTATCCGCATTTCTCTTGATAAAACCTACTAATCACTGAGTAACCTCCTCGCAGGCGAGAGCGAAATCCGTCGTAAAGTCGGACAAGAAAGCGGACGCCTTCATCCAAGCCATGGAGACATTCGACACATACGAGAACCCGAAATCCAGTGCCAAGAAACTTGCGTCCTCAATAAAGGCTTTGCTCGAAGCGGCCGGTACCACGACCGAGCAAGACTACTGCGTGACGCTCATGAAGTACTTAGAACTACAACCCAAGAGCTTCCCGGTGGTCCGGCGTGACGTCCATGGCGGTGGTTCAATCCAGATAAGAAGAGACACGATCGACCTCGTCGTCCAGAGGGCTGACGGGGTGTTCTTCGGCTTCAAGGCCTACTTGGATCGAGGCCACAAAATAGCCTTCGAGCAGTTCGCCCACCTCGCTGAGCGAGAAGGCGAGGATAAGCTCTTCTATCGAGGCTTCGAACGCCCGGCTACGCGCACTGTTGTTGTGGGCATCCATTTCACAGAGAGCAAAGACATCAAGTTCTCATTCTACGTTATTCCCAAGAAGTTCAAAAGCCCCAAAGTAATGAGGTTTTAGGAGATTCTTCTCTTCGCCGAGAACGCTCCGCACGCAGAGGAAAATCCTTGTTGAACGAGCCAACTAGTTCAATATGTGTTTTTCGGTTTAGAAGATGTACCTCTCACTCGAAAGAACGGAGAGTACGAATTTGGTAGACATAAATCGATCGTAAAACGAAATCGTGTACCGATCTATAGCGACTCGATCGACACCGACTCGATCAATTTCCGGATTTTGTCGATAGACGCACGGTTTTGTCGATTGATTCATGGGCTCGTCGATCGAATCAGTGTCGACTGGATTGCCGATTGGCTTTCATTGATATGCTGTCGATCGGTTCAAGTTCTTATTTATCGATCGATTCATGTCGATTGAATCCGTACTTTCAAAAAGAACCGCGCTTACTTTTGTTGGCATAAGTGAACTTTAGCTCGGTGAACCGAAAGTTTAGTTAAAAAAAAACCGAAGTCTCAGTTTATCAAGCTGGAAAAATTTGAATGATATGATCCATGTTTCATATGAACCAGAATTTTCTAGTTTGTAAAACTGATCTCACGGTTCACCGATCTGAGGTTTAGTTCTGTTTACTAAAGCAGTCAGTTTGCTTGATTAAGGGCTCACTATAAGTACTCTGAACCAAAAATTTGCCTACTGAAATATTAGGTGACAACCGAGGTCTTTTATCCGTAACGGAACGTTCTACTAGATGCTACTAGAATTTCTCTTGTCCGCTATCTAATCGCGCAGTCACCCTGTTCGCAGGCGGAACCAGACACCGTCGCAGAACCGGCTACAAAATCGGAAGACGAAGTCACCTTAAAAGCGGACGCCTTCATTAAATCCCTGGAGACCTTCAACGCAAGCAAGCAGAGCCTGAAATCCAGTGCCGGGGATCTAGCTTCCTCCACGAAGGCCTTGCTTGAAGCGGCCGGTACCACGACGGAGGAAGACTACTATACAACTCTTTTGAAGCACGTGAACCAACGACCCGAGAAATTCCCCGAGGCCCAGTACCACGTTCATGGCGGTGGTACCGGCGAGAGGGTGAACGCTACTATCGACCTCCTTGTCCATCGGGTAGACGGCGAGTTCTTCGCTTTTAACGCGCACCTCTCCTGGGGTCATGAGATTGCGTACGCGCAGCTCTGCTATCTCGCCCAGCGAAATGGTACTGAGCTTTTTTATAGAGGATTCAGCCGTCCGGTAACGCGCACCATTGTTGTGGGTGTGGAGTTCACCGGGCTCGAAGCGATGAAGTTCTCGTATTATGTTAATCCCAAAAGCTTCAGAAGTCCGCTTACTGTAATTGAACTATAGATGATCTCCTTGAAAACGAGAAAAATTTCTGGCTCTGATGGGAACTAAACTGGGGGAAAAGGTCACTTGGATCTAGAGTCCAGACTCTTAAAAACATCGACAAGAAAATATATTCTTAATTGATTCAATCGGACTTTCCGTCGGAATCGAAAGGAAATCCATCTAAATCAGGAGGCTCGGCTCTTCGACTCAAGGAAAAATCGAATTGAATCAAGAGTATTTTTTCTTGTTAATGTTATCAAGAGTCTGGACTCTAGATTCGAGCGACATTTTATTCCAATGAACTCTGGTTCCCTCCGCGGGCCGTTCAGTTATTACATAAGTTATTTAAAGGAATGGGGTCTGATCGCCTAGAAAACGCAATTTAACGAGAAGAGAGGACGGGTAGGAGGCGGTTAAGACAAATCTTACTCAAGCCTCCTTTTTGAAAAATATACACGTAAAAATTTACCTTTAAAATGTACATTTGTATATTTTTTCTAACGAAAATAACTTTTTTCGGCTATTTTAGGGGTTTTCCGTATAACTTACTGGAACATTTTGGGGTAAGGATCTAATCAGACTCACATGATTCAAAATTGATTCATGGTTCTGGCGGGTGCCTTACAGAGAGGAGGGAGCTCAAAAAGTCAACCAAAAATATCAAAATGTTTCATGCGATACTCGAGCGGCCTCCTAGTTCTGTAGTGCTGTTCTGGTTCTCATAGAATTCTTGAATCGAAAAATAGGAGACAAAACTGATTAAATGTGTCTTTGTATCAATACATGAATTGATATGACTCTAATTGGACGTATTTATGCTAAAAGAAACTGTGAGCATAACTATGTATGTAGGTTTGCGTACAAGATAGTTTCTTCCAGCACAAATACGTCCAATATACTGACTCAGAATCACTTTAATTTGACCTATTTAAATCGAAAAGAACCATATACATTCTGGCATGAGCTCGGAGATCCATAAGAGTACATGAATGATATTGCTCATGTCGCAATGGATGTAGTTCGTTTAAATTCAAATGCGTCCAATAACTGTCTTATAGTTGCGGAGTTTCATTAATTTTCTCGATTTTCAAGTCAAATGATTACTGGGCGTCTCAATTTGAACCGAATATAACCTATCAGAGAATGCATGTATGTGTGTATGCGCGACTTTTGGTCCCATTTGCTCATCAAGTGATTTAGAAGGCTGTGATGCTCTTTTTTGTTCTTCAAATCCTCATTTTAAATTCCAGTGTACCTCATGTTCAGGAAAATCAAACCAATGAATCAGGAAAACGATGTTGTATCGTTAGTTAAAACGTGTGATCTTTGATGTTCATACGAGTATGTGATTTATTGTCATCTCTCTTTTAATTAATTTTGGCGTTTAGCAAATGAATGATTGTATCGTATCGAAATTTTGAAAGGCTCTTGAAAAATAAAAGAAAAGTACACAGAATTTTGTCCAATTATGATTCTTTGCATCCTTCAAAAAATTGAAACAGGAATTCTAAAACATCGCGAACTGAGGAATGTTGCTTTGTTGTTTTGCAATATACTGAACTTCAATTTCCCCTTTTTCAATATGAAGCGCCTGAATGCAACTATTCGTGTTCAACGGATGCCTGTGTGGCATGTTCAAAAATTGAAGGCGCTTCGGTTTTCATTGGTCGATTTCCCTTTTTCATTACAAAGCGCCTGGATGCAACTATTCGTGTTCAGCAAGTGCGCATGTTGCATATTCAAAAATTGAAGGCGCTTCGGTTTTCATTGGTCCTATAGGAGCGACAAGCACAAGCCGCGCGGCCACCTCATGGTCATTGAGACGTGTCTCTTATGAGAGGGACATTGAGGAAAGAAGCTTTTGGTACTTCAGTAAATAATGCACAACTTTTCGGGAAGTTGGCAGGAGTACAACAAAGTAAGGACATTTCCGATTTCAAAAATCAAGGGAGCCACATCCGCATCAGACACCTCATTAAGATTATTTTCCCGTTTTTATAGACCCATAATAAACGGAATAGCTTCACGCAGTATCATATAGACGGGTGATTATATCATTAGACTGGAAAACCTGATTATTTGAAACAGTGCCGACAGTGTGTTAGGAATGTTGCACAACATGTTTCTTATGTTATTTTACTATTTAATCTGAAAATGACCTCGGTTTGACTCTTACATACACCAATTCTCCGGGTAGTCGAATGTTTTTTAGAAATTTTTGGTTCTGAAGAAAATCTAGAATTTCCAGGAAATCGTGGTTATACAGTCGTATATCGACGGTGTAAGTCGGCAATCACATAACTCGGAAAATGCGATTATTCAGGAGAGGGAAAAAACTCTCTACATTCCTCATCTTTGAAGGTAGAGGAGAAATAATTCTTAGAGACAGCAAGGATAAGATGCTTCATAAGACTCTATCATCATTTTGAATAATATTCGCGTCTGTCAGGAGAAATGACCGAAAAACCGAGTTATGTGTTTGTGGAACTAAGGTCCAACACTGAATTCAGAGATAGGTACGTGGTTGGCGAATTACTGATTCAAACCTATTCTTTGTCGATGTTTACTGAATAAAGACCGAATAAGACTCCTCTCACTTTAAAGTAACCTAAAGTTCCTTTTAACAAACTTCAATTGGTAGCGAATCTTTAGAATGACACTGGAAAACAATTCGACGGTGCGGCGTACCTAAGTCGGCAATCACATAACTCGGTTTACGACGTCGCAGAGGCAGACTTCCTGTCATACTTCATTTTTTAAACGGAGAACTACTCAACGGCAATTCTTTAAAACTGCCGTGAGTTTTCTTCTCTATGCGAAGAAAAGTCTGTATAAACTGCAAGGAATGATGTCAAATGTGTCGAGGTTCTCCTATAAATTTTCAGACACCGTGAACGAGAAAATTATGTGATTGCGGACTTACGCCGTCGAATTACGAATTAAAATGAAATGAAGATAAAAATAAGCGGACGATTACTCAGTTATCCGTCGGATCAGATGTTTGATGTTAAAAAAATAACAATGTTTTTGTTGTTTGAAGATTCCGTGACGTACTAACTTTTAATTTTCCCTCCTAAACTGTTCGCGATTCTTCCCGGGAGAGCGCGCGTTGTGTAAAAATGCGGCGCGACGGCACGAGTTATGTGTTATTGGAATTAACGCCGAGATATGTGTTTTGAGTGCTACTTTTTTAGGTGAATTCTAGATTTTTTTCGACTGAAATATTTTGACAGCAGGTAAAGGGCATCTACTACACTTCATCTCTGCAGCTAACTCAAAACCGCCGAAAATCGAGTTATGTGATTTCCGACTTACATCGTCGATATGTCATGTAGAATAAGTATCAAATCTAGATCCACTTCAGACTCAGCGCCATGAATTACATAGGGATCGATTATCCACTGCACAGAATGTTCACATAAACTCATGTTATGGATGCTCAGTTTCCATCTGGATTTACGGGGAAATTGGATGGATACAAATATTTTGACATCAATGTGAGCGGTGAGGTATCATAAGAGATAAAGGTGATCTTCCGTAATTACTTATCATCAGGACGCTCATCGGATTATTTTTGGACTTGCTGTTACAACCTTGAATGTTGCAGTTGTTAAGGACAAGCGCGCACGGGGCACCTCCTTTACCGTGTTTTCCTCCATGTTTTCCTTCAATATGTTAACCCAGTTTCTATTTAAGTCATTTTGTGTCCATGCTCCTGTAAGCACAGACATATTTTCAACTTCTTGAATAATGACTCGCCTGTTTCGGACAATTTCAAAATTAACAAGCTTTGCCTTTCTCCTCAAAACGAGAACGACACTGTTCTGCTGTGCTAAGGAAGAACGCCGTATGAGCCTTCATACGTTGCCAAGTTTTCTCCGATAAAAACCGAATTTACTCGGAAAATTGTGAATATTATTTTCCAAAATTTTCCGACAATTTTGTACGCGATTTAATCTAAAATATCTGAACATGTCATGGAAAAATATGCATGAATGTTGTCTAAAATACATGTTTTATGCTTGTTCCTCTATTATTTTGTTTTTTCCTGATATTTTAATACCCACAATATTCTTACAGATTCTTTCGTTCGTTAACTGGGGGCAACTAGAGCGAGGACGAACATTGCCGTGCTAAGGAAGAACGCCGTATGAACATTCGAGAGTTGCCAAATTTCCTTCGATAAAACATGTATTTTAGACAACATTCATGCATATTTTTCCATGACATGTTCAGATATTTTAGATTAAATCGCGTACAAAATTGTCGGAAAATTTTGGAAAATAATATTCACAATTTTCCGAGTAAATTCGGTTTTTATCGGAGAAAACTTGGCAACGTATGAAGGCTCATACGGCGTTCTTCCTTAGCACAGCAGAACAGTGTCGTTCTCGTTTTGAGGAGAAAGGCAAAGCTTGTTAATTTTGAAATTGTCCGAAACAGGCGAGTCATTATTCAAGAAGTTGAAAATATGTCTGTGCTTACAGGAGCATGGACACAAAATGACTTAAATAGAAACTGGGTTAACATATTGAAGGAAAACATGGAGGAAAACACGGTAAAGGAGGTGCCCCGTGCGCGCTTGTCCTTAACAACTGCAACATTCAAGGTTGTAACAGCAAGTCCAAAAATAATCCGATGAGCGTCCTGATGATAAGTAATTACGGAAGATCACCTTTATCTCTTATGATACCTCACCGCTCACATTGATGTCAAAATATTTGTATCCATCCAATTTCCCCGTAAATCCAGATGGAAACTGAGCATCCATAACATGAGTTTATGTGAACATTCTGTGCAGTGGATAATCGATCCCTATGTAATTCATGGCGCTGAGTCTGAAGTGGATCTAGATTTGATACTTATTCTACATGACATATCGACGATGTAAGTCGGAAATCACATAACTCGATTTTCGGCGGTTTTGAGTTAGCTGCAGAGATGAAGTGTAGTAGATGCCCTTTACCTGCTGTCAAAATATTTCAGTCGAAAAAAATCTAGAATTCACCTAAAAAAGTAGCACTCAAAACACATATCTCGGCGTTAATTCCAATAACACATAACTCGTGCCGTCGCGCCGCATTTTTACACAACGCGCGCTCTCCCGGGAAGAATCGCGAACAGTTTAGGAGGGAAAATTAAAAGTTAGTACGTCACGGAATCTTCAAACAACAAAAACATTGTTATTTTTTTAACATCAAACATCTGATCCGACGGATAACTGAGTAATCGTCCGCTTATTTTTATCTTCATTTCATTTTAATTCGTAATTCGACGGCGTAAGTCCGCAATCACATAATTTTCTCGTTCACGGTGTCTGAAAATTTATAGGAGAACCTCGACACATTTGACATCATTCCTTGCAGTTTATACAGACTTTTCTTCGCATAGAGAAGAAAACTCACGGCAGTTTTAAAGAATTGCCGTTGAGTAGTTCTCCGTTTAAAAAATGAAGTATGACAGGAAGTCTGCCTCTGCGACGTCGTAAACCGAGTTATGTGATTGCCGACTTAGGTACGCCGCACCGTCGAATTGTTTTCCAGTGTCATTCTAAAGATTCGCTACCAATTGAAGTTTGTTAAAAGGAACTTTAGGTTACTTTAAAGTGAGAGGAGTCTTATTCGGTCTTTATTCAGTAAACATCGACAAAGAATAGGTTTGAATCAGTAATTCGCCAACCACGTACCTATCTCTGAATTCAGTGTTGGACCTTAGTTCCACAAACACATAACTCGGTTTTTCGGTCATTTCTCCTGACAGACGCGAATATTATTCAAAATGATGATAGAGTCTTATGAAGCATCTTATCCTTGCTGTCTCTAAGAATTATTTCTCCTCTACCTTCAAAGATGAGGAATGTAGAGAGTTTTTTCCCTCTCCTGAATAATCGCATTTTCCGAGTTATGTGATTGCCGACTTACACCGTCGATATACGACTGTATAACCACGATTTCCTGGAAATTCTAGATTTTCTTCAGAACCAAAAATTTCTAAAAAACATTCGACTACCCGGAGAATTGGTGTATGTAAGAGTCAAACCGAGGTCATTTTCAATAGACGTAAAATTTATATTTTGTCAGAATATGTTCGATATCTCGATATTCGTTATTGTGCCCTGAAGAGCGCTGCCGCTTGTTTCTCTGGAAACAGCACTTGTTAAAAAACAGGGAGGGAATTAATCCCTTCTGCATTACCTAAGTAACCGTGAAAAGCACGAATCAATGACTTTAAGCGGACCAAAGTAAATGATAAATGAAAATGGCTGCGCTGAGTAAGTTTGCTAAAGATATTTAAAGCATCCCCCGCCCGGTCAGAAAACCCATTAAAAACTCAAACAATCGAATACAAGATTATCCATTTTCATAACTGAATTCCAGACCTGGCTCTCTAATCCTCTCATTAAGCATTTATTTTTACCTCCGGATGAAAAGTGCATCTCTGTTCCATTAAAGTTGG